TTGTTTAAAAACCCAAACCACGCTTTGTGCAACAGGCCTCAGGACATGACAACATAACAAACATGAGCACGCATTATTGTAATGCACTATTCTGTGGATGTCCTGATGGCTAAAAATAAACACTGATTGCTTAAAACTGCTTACTAGACCCAAGAAATATGATCACATCAGCCCAATTTTATGGCCTCTACATAGGCCGTCTGCCAGCTTTCATATCGGTTTTAAGATCCTGCGAAAATTGCCTTGAGTGGAAATACAGTCTGCAGTAATTATGCAATCTATTATCTGACTCTAATGCTTAGTGGTCAAACGGTGGCAAAAAAATAATAACATGCTGTAAGTATAGACATATAATAAAATGGTTTGTTGGTTTGACTCCCTGCTGGGTCAGTTGGGATTTGTGGAGTTTGCATGGTTTGCAAGGTTTCCCCCACAGTCCAAATACATATGCTGTAGGTGAATGGGGAAGCTAAATTGATTGTAGTGTATGAGAGTGCGTGTGTGTGTACGTGTGTGAATGAGTGCGTATGGGTGTTTTCCAGTACTGGGTTGCAGCTGGAAGGGCATCCACTGCGTAAAACTTATACTGGAATAGTTGGTGGTTCATTCCGCTGTGGCGACCACTGAAAAATAAGGGATTAAGCCGAAGAAAGGAAGTGAATGAACTGCATTGCTTGTTGTTCCTTCGGTGTGACAGACAGGGTTTATTGTCCTGCATTAAAACCGCTGGCCCCGGGGTGAACTTTCAGTCCAAATTCTCCCGAATGTGCACGCCAAGACACAGATCCTTAAACTGTTCAGTTGACCTGATGATCAATTCCAGCTGCAGTTGAATGAGTTAGTGCCACTGTAAAGATGCAATATTGTATAAATCACAGGCTTGGACTGTGTTCTGGCGGGAAGGCTCGTCTTTTTGACCTTCATCAACCTGCTGTCGGAGACTTTCCGTCACATTTAGAAGAGCTCAACATGTTGAAAAGACAGTGAAAACTAGACAGTCATGCTAGCAGTTAAATAGGGTTCATCAGATAATTAAGGAAATTACGAAAGACATGCACTAATAACTGGCAGGATCTGAAAGTGTTGTGTAATTTTGATTACATTAAGAGGTGCTTCAGAATATAGGTAATATTTGAGCATCTCAGAGAAATTGTTGTGGATAAAGCTGCTGAATCACAATTAAAAGGGAGTAATGTGTATGCCAATTTCATTCATTAATTCATTTTATTTTCGGATTAGTCCCTTTATTAATCTGGGGTCGCCACAGCGGAATGAACCGCCAACTTATCCAGCATATGTTTTACGCAGCGGATTCCAGCTGCAACCCATCACTGGGAAACACCCATACACACTCATTCACACTCATACACTATGGACAATTTAGCTTACCTAATTCACCTTCAGTGCATGCCTTTGGACTTGTGGGGGAAACCGGAGCGCCTGGAGGAAAACATCCACTAAACGGCCACTTTATTAGGTACACCTGTCTAACTGCTTGTTAACGCAAATTTTTGCTCAGCCAATCACATGGCAGCAACTCAATGCATTTAGGCATGTAGACATGGTCAAGACGATCTGCTGCAGTTCAAAGGGGGTAGAAAGGTGATTTAACGTGGCATGGTAGTTGTTGAATATTTCAGAAACTGCTGATCTACTGGGATTTTCACGCACAAACATCTCTAGGGTTTACAGAGAATGGTCGGACTAAGAGGAAATATCCAGTGAGTGGCAGTTCTGTGGGTGCAAATGCCTAATTGATGCTAGAGGTCAGAGGAGAATGGCCAGACTGGTTCCAGCTGATAGGAAGGCAACAGTAACTCAAATAAGCACTCGTTACAACCGAGGTCTGCAGAAGAGCATCTCTGAACACACAACAAGTCCAACCTTGAGGCGGATGGGCTACAGCAGCAGAAGAGCACACCGGGTGCCGCTCCTGTCAGCTAAGAACAGGAAACTGAGGCTACAATTCACACAGGCTCAACAAAACTGGACAATAGAAGATTGGAGAAACGTTGCCTGCTCTGATGAGTCTCCATTTCTGCTGCCACATTCAGATGGTCGGGTCAGAATTTGGCATCAACAACATGAAAGCATGGATCCATCCTGCCTTGTATCAATGTTTCAGGCTGGTGGTGGTGGTGTAATGGTGTGGGGAAGATTTTCTTGACACACTTTGGGCTCATTAGTACCAATTGATCATCGTGTCAATGCCACAGCCTACCGGAGTATTGCTGCTGACCATGCACATCCCTTTATGACCACAGTGTACTCATCTTCTGAGGATAACACGCCATGTCATAAAGCTCAATCATCTCAGACTGGTTTCTTGAACATGACAACGAGTTCACTGTACTCAAATGGCCTCCACAGTCACCAGCTCTCAATCCAAAAGAGCACCTTTGGGATGTGGTGGAATGGAATATTCACATCATGGATGTGCAGCCGACAAATCTGCAGCAACTGTGTGATGCTATCATGTCAGTATGGAGCAAATCCCTGAGGAATATTTCCAGCACCTTCTTAAATCTACGTCAAGAAGGATGAAGGCAGTTCTGAAGGTAAAAGGGGCCCCAACCCGGTACTAGTAAGGTGTACCTAATAAAGTGGCCGCTGAGTGTGTACTAAGTGTGTAACTCTATATAAGTAATATATAATAAGAATAATGATTTGCATTTTGCATGCATTTGCTGTCATTAAAAATAATGAATAATTCATCATGTTTCTCATGTTTGTAATATTTTATCACTGTTGAATGGCTGAATTCATCTTGTTGAATGGCTGAATGCCTCCACAATTGTGAACTGCTTTGGACAAAAAGCATCTGCTAAATGACTAAATCTAAATGAAACTAAAAACACATACAGGTTTAAATGGTTTCTGCATTAAAGCAGCACTTCTCTTCTGGCGTGCACAATCCAGTGCTTTTAGCTGTTTTCTTGGGTCTATGTGAGTGTTGTTGTAATGCCCGCTTGTTTTGAGGACATTGTCGCCTGTAATCAAAGTTGAAAAACCCAAAGGACGTCAGTTTTTAATCACTGCCATGTAAATGTACCCTCCGCTCGAATCCATCCCACACTGGGTAATGTCACAAGAAATATTATTTATTGCAGAAATATTCTCTCATTCTTGTGGTGTGGACACTAAAATAAAGTCTGTTTCTTCTGACTGAAATGAATCCTGCTGAAGACAAGGAAGACTCGCATGTTAAAATGCTGGATAATTCTCCATGGCAAAACTTGGTGCCGTTGAGCCCACAATGCACTGATGTTAATAAGACTCGTCTGCGGTCCCAAAAAAATACAAACAAATAAGACGTCTGCCTTGAAGGAGAACCAAAAACAGGATGTGGCACAGAAATGCCACACCACCAGAACAAATACTTTTGTAAAGTCACAGTGGCTAATGATGCCAATGGAAAGACTCTGACACTGCAATGCTCGCTCCTACTTTTCCTTGCATGGTTACAAATTAATAATAATAATAAAAAAAATAATAATAATAATAAAAAAAAATAATAATAATAACAATAAATAATAATAATTATAATAATTTTTAAATAATTGATAAATAATATTAATAATAACAATAAACTATTTTTAAAATAATAATAGTAATAATAACAATAATAATAATAATAATAAAATCAATAAAATATTTTTATTAATAACACATAAATAAATAAATAAATAAATATGTAATAATACTGGTAATAATAATGGCAATAATAATAATAATGAAAATAATAATAATAATAAAAATAATAATAATAATAATAATAATAATAATAATAATACAAAAATATTAAAATTACAATAATTATTAAAACAATAAAATATTTATATTATTAACACATGAATAAATAAATAAATAAATAATATAAAAAATAAATAAATAATAATAATAATAATAATATTAATAACAACAACAACAATAACAACAACAACAACAACAACAACAACAACAACAACAACAACAATAACAATAATAATAATAATAATAATAATAATAATAATAATAATAATAACACAAAATAAATAAATAAAACATAATAAAATAATAACAGATAAATAAATAAACAAATAATAAACAAATAATAGCAATAATAATAATAATAATAATAATAATAATAATAATAATAATAAATTGTAAATAATAATAAATAAATAAAATAACAATAACAATTAAACAGTGAAAATATTACCGACAATGGTAATAACACATAAATAAATAAATATGTAAAAAATAATACTAAAAATAAATAACAATAATAATAACAACAACAACTATGACGACAATAATAATAATAATAATAATAATAATAATAATAATAATAATAATAATAATAATAATAATAATGTCTAAAAATATTTATAATAATAATAACAAAAATGAAAAATAATGGGAAAAATGTAATAATTTTCATTCTTCAAGTCAATATTAAATGTCAAATAATTATATGATAATTGTGTAAGAGCTTTAAAGATACAAAAATAATTTAAGATTTTTTTTGTTTGTTTTTATTGAACTCTTTTAATCTAAAATGTGTTATTCTTATAACATCAACAAACTTAATTGCAGAATCAATAAGTGCTTTAAACAGGGGTGGATTAAAAATGATTTCTCAACAACTGTGACATGATTAAAGCACCAAAACACATGTTAAAACAGATCCTTCGTTCAACACTTACTTATAAAGGCTGTCGGGCTCCAGGCACTTGAAGACGAGCGAATAGATCATATTATGAGGATGTTCAGCATTTCTCCGTCCTGCAACCACACATGAGGAGCCCAGACCCGAAAACAGATCATCCATCAGGCTCAAAACCTCTCCTGTGAAACACACAACAACCAGATCAATGTTAACAGAGGATTAGATGCTCACACTTTACAATACGCTCGCATTAATTCATGTATTCAGACATGAACTGATAATGAAGAATGCTGGTGCAGCATTTATTAATCACAGCTCAACATTTATTAATGCATTATTATCATTCAAACTCACATGCTAACATTAGTTAATGCATGAACTGACAATGAATGACTGCGTTTTCATTAACTAACATCAACAAATACTGTAATAAATGTATTGTTCATTGTTTGTTCATGTTAGTAAATACATTTACTAACATTAACCATTACAACCTCAGTGTAAAGTGTTACCAATTAGATCATGTAAGAATTTCAACCCAAGCTCATTCTGAAAACGTAGCCCCGGGGACGTTTCTGGAGACCGCAATTTACATGGCCGGAGGTACGTATGGCTGCATTTAGTTTTTTCAAGCAATCGCTGCAGGGTGGTGTGAAGGTCCTCTTCGCGCTTCGCCGGCTTGGCTGACGGCTCGCCTCCTCCGTGTGGAGGGCATTCCCGCCGCAACCAGTTTGTCCGGTTAGCTCGTTTTGTTACGTCGGCGGAGCGGAGGCCCGGAGGAGGAGCCGGGCGCATTCGCCGACCGAATTCGAGTACGGGGAAGAGCGGTTCCAGAAATCAGGTAAGACAAAACACAGAATCCAATAAATAAAGTGAACGAGTTCGTATTGGGGCGAGAATTAGGGATGGCTGACGTGAAACTGACGTTTCGACACAGTGTCGAGATCCCGAAGCGCAAGTGTTTCGAAACACTGCACCGAAGCATGATCCGAAGCACCCAAGTCACGTGACTAAAGTGTTTCGAAACACCTGGTCACGTGACTAAAGCAATTTGAAAATTAAAAAAATTAAAGCGTTTTGAGACCTGGCGAATCTTCATTCCGCTGCCAAGGTCAGAAAATGTTTCGTTTTATATGGCCTAGTGGACTGTATGTGTGCCCGCTGATACTGTGTTTCGAATCACGTTTTGGGTTCGAATCCCGACTTGTACAAATATTCTGAAATCATGGTTTCATGTATTTTAATCATGTTTCTGTTTTATGTAGCCTAAATAGGATACAGCTGCAGTTACGTCCTCAATATAGCATCATTTTTGTAACACTGTAAAACATAATTAATAATTTTACAGTACTGTGATGGAGTATGGTTTGGTTTTGGGTTTGGGTAGACATTAATAAAATACAATAAATGGGAAATTTTATGAAACAAGACATATTTATTCACAAATTGTTTATTCGGATATCAGACCAATGTTGAAACAAAACAATACAAGAGCAATGCATAACCAACTGGTATTAAAGCATTTCAAAACAATATCAGCCTGGATTCGAACCCACCATCCCTACATGGTAGTCAAACACCTTTACCACTCCACTATATCACTTGAAGACTCCAGCATGCAAAGTGGGGTTTAATGCTTAAATTTGCTCAACTGTTCTTTGCTGAACCTGTTTCAGTGCAATACATTAAAAAATGACCACTAGGTGTCACTGTAGAGTGAGGTTTTGAAACGTTTCGAAGCTTCAACACATTTGCGTCGACTATTTCAGTGTTTCACGAAGCCTCGCTTTGCCCACCACTAGCGAGAATGCGGTGAAATTCGAAAACGCAGTCAAAGTTGGACGAGGGCTTTTCTTTTTCTGCACGGCTTTCGTTAATCATTTCTTGGGTTTAGGAAGGAGGAGGAGGAGGGTGGTCGGGTCAGCTGATTGGCCGGCCACCCAGTCAATCGTTCAGTCATTCAGCCAGTCGGACAGACGGTCGCTCGACAGCAGCCTCCGGTGGCTTTTTACGTGAGAACAGAAAACAAAAACTGCACAAATACGTACCACCCGAGACATATTTAGCGGTCTCCTGAAACGTCCGCGGGGCTACATTTCCAGAATGAGCCTGGGTTGAAGAATTTTACATGCAAATGGATATTTCATGTACATTTGTACAATTTGAATCATCAAAACAGTGTATTATTCACGTAAAAATACCAGACCACAAACATATACAGGTGAAGTCAGAATTATTGGCCCCCTTTGATTTTTTTCTCCATTTTAAATATTTCCTTTTTTTTTTAACAGAGCAAGGAAATGTTCACAGTATGTCTGATAATATTTTTTTCTTCTGGAGAAAGTCTTATTTGTTTTATTTCGGCTAGAATAAAAGCAGTTTTTAATTTTTTAAACACCATTTTAAGGTCAAAATTGTTAGCCCCTTTAGGCTGTTTTTTTCCCAATAGTCTACAGAACATCCCAACGCTATACCGTTTGTTGAACGAACATAACTTAAAACTTAGCATTTTGTTGATATCACTCAAAAATTGAGTTAATTTAACTTAAGTTATGTTCCATGAAAATGGATAAACTTAAGATTTCAAGTGTAGTGTGCTCAAATCATAATTATTCCTACATTTTCACAAATGTAATCTTGACTGTAAAATTCTAATATGTGCAACCTTTAAACTGCAAGGTCTTTTTTAAATCAGAAAACAAACGACTTCAGGTATAATTATTCATCATAATGTGAATAAACGACTAGTTATTTTTTGTTTAAAATTAATTTAAACATTTTTATATTATTACACACACACACGCACACACACGCACACACGCACACACACACACACACACACACACACACACACACACACACACACATATATATATATATATATATATATATATATATATATATATATATATATATATATATATATATATATATATATATATATATATATATATATATATATATATATATATATATATATATATATATATATATATATATATATATATATATATATATATATATATATATATATATATATATATATATATATATATATATATATATATATATATATATATATATATATATATATATATATATATATATATATATATATATATATATATATATATATATATATATATATATATATATATATATATATATATATATATATATATATATATATATATATATATATATATATATATATATATATATATTTATTTTCTTGTCGGTTTAGTCCCTTTATTAATCCGGAGTCGCCACAGCGGAATGAACCGCCAACTTATCCAGCAAGTTTTTACGCAGCTGATGCCCTTCCAGCTGCAACCTTTCTCTGGGAAACATACACACACACACACACACACACTACGGACAATTTAGCCTACCCAATTTACCTGTACCACATGTCTTTGGACTGTGGGGGAAACCGGAGCACCCGGAGGAAACCCACACGAACGCAGGGAGAACATGCAAACTCCACACAGAAACGCCAACTGAGCCGAGGATCGAACCAGCAACCCAGTGACCTTCTTGCTG